TAAGTCAGTGTAGGCCAACTGCGGTGAAGACGCACGGTATATGCAACATTAAACATCAGGATAGGGGCACTCGTACGTGCACACCTTTGTTCGCATTACCAGTAGGGCAAATAGAGCGCCTGCGTCCTTGCTGAAACTATGGATGGTTGTCGCTGCGCTGCAACAATCGATGGATTAGTGCGGTATCAGTGCAAAAGTCCTCCCGACCGATGTTGCCAGAGAGCGGGGATTCCGTTTTGACTCACCTTGCTCCATAATGTTTGGCCAATTTAACGTACACCGTCCCTTCTCAGTTGCGTACCACCAACGCCAAGGAGATAACAACATTCGTTGTTCGATATGCTAATGACAGGAGTTGCATTTATACTATACGCCTACGGTTTCAGGAAGTTTCAAGGCCATTCAATTTTTACGTGCATCCGGTCATCTTATTCCGATTTGACATCTGACCTCACAAGTTCCTACTCCGGGCACATTGCTATAGGAGTGCTATTCACCATTTATAAAAGCAGGCAATATCTAGACTACAGTAGATCCGCCTTGGTAATGAACAACGCGCTATTTTAACATCACGCTGATCATTTCATTGAAAGTTATCTTATCTGCCTTTGTTTGTCGCACTTTCGTTCATTATTTAACCTATCCGCTGACTTTGAAGATTGTTAATCTTGGCACACATGTTCAACCCCATTCCCAGCGCATCTCTCTGCCTCCTTTTCTAAACAAAACACTTATCCACCTTTACTACGTTGTTTCTCAAATTCCTGTTGTTGGTGTTTACTTCGAATTATCACTACACTCTACCGATGTACATATTTGTAGAGGGGCCGCTTCCAAGAATGCTTCGGGGGAGCTCTTCGGAGCTTGCTGAGAGCGGATCGAGAAGGACGGCGAGCGACGAGCCTGGGCCCGGAACTACGGAGCGGGAATATGTGGACAGCGCATTAAATCAGACATGTACGCTGCTAGCGCAGCCCACTGGACCGAGGCCGAGCCGATTGACACAGCCCAGAACAGGCAACTCGAGAGCTCTCGAACGACTCCTGGCCGATCCAAATCGGGTACAGAGAAGTGGAGATCGAGGCGAAAATAGGAAGGCGGGTCTTCCAAGTCAGAGCTTCCGAGGCGAAAGGACTGGCTCGTCTCTAACATCCGTACCTGTGTTGCGTGGTGGGACGGAAATCTAGTCAATATTCGATGGCGCGCGTGAGACCCTTATGTGCCCATTTTCGGTGTGCAATAAACGTCTACCCCCTGTCGTGTCGTTTTTCGCTACATATTGTGCAACGAATGAAACCTCGTATCTCGTTTTTACTGTTGCCTCATTACCCATTGTGACTTTGATTCACGTTCTCATTTACTAGGGACATCTGTTTTAATTCTTACGTGTTCAGGTTGTTGAGCATTCAACACAGCTGCATACGCGTTACTCAGACAGGATGGCGAATAGTATGCACCCTATAAATGCATCTTTTCGTTTTCATTAAACGTCTCACGAACCACCGGATTCAGTTGTACTTCCAGTTAGTTTGTAACTTTCATTGTATCAAACCGAGGGCGGGGCATAAACTTACCATCCCCATCTGACAGCGATATTTTCTTAGTGCTTATTATCGGTCGGAAGCGCTTGCAACTTTCTCCTTCGGGTTAGTGTTTATTGCAGCATTATTTGCTCGTTACGTTTCAGATTTGTGTTGCTGCTAGTTTCCATTCCCAATTTGTATCTTCAGTTATTGGCAATGAGTTTCTCAATGGGAAGACAGAGGAATGCAATTCTCATTTGGTTTGCGCTGCTGCGCCCTCCCTAGGATTGAAGCTTAGAAAGGTTCGCTCCGACAATCTTTGCAAATGCGCTTCCAGATTACTATCTTACCAGACGATGTTCAACTGATTGCACAGGAGGCACGAGAGTTCATGAACTCATTTGACATAGTGTTGACTTCCGGTGGCATCGGTCCAACTCACGACCATGTGACATTCGAAGGTGATCCTAGTGTTCCTCCTTTATCACTGGGCTTTTTCTTAGGTCTGACGAAAACGTTAAACGAAAGGACACTTGTTCATCCTGAGCTTTTAAATGTGGTCGAGAATTTCTTCGGCTTCGATTCCTGTTTCGGTGCACTCCACAGACTTGCCTGTATCCCAGGCTCTTTCGGGTTCGCGTACGGGATAGACCAGTCCACCGGAAGACAAAGTTACTATCCAGTTGTCAAGGTCCGGAATATTTACGCCTTACCTGGGATCCCAATACTCTTTCATACGTCTTTCGAAATCATCAAAGTAAGTGGTCAATTCAAAGTTGTGCAGACAGTAAAAAATATGTATTTGAGAAATATGGTATCGTACGAGTCGGATCACAAATCGTATTTATCTCGTGATCCTAGCTTGAAACCAGGTCTCTGTATGATATATCTCGGGGCGTTGATTCCTTGCCGCACCGCTTTGTCTGGTTCCGTTGTAACTAAATATTGAGCTTTAAATCCAGCAGCGAATGCGTCACCCGCTCCAGTAGTGTCCACAACGTATTCCTTGTGGATCGGTGCCACGGGGAACTCTTGCACTTTCAACCCGCTTGATCTCACCATAATCACAGGCTCAACAGTTTGCGTCAACAGAACGATACTTGCCTTCTCTCTGGATGGTACACATATTTTCGAACGCAAGTGTTGCCCGATTTTGCTAATGGGCTCATTTTTAGACCATGTTTGTCACCGTACGCGATCGCATCTGCGTTGTTACCGAACAGAATGTTGACAAATGGAAGCCGCGCATCGACTTCTCCCGCAAAGTGTGTCGCTACGTGTGGTGCACTGAGATTAAAGCAGAAAATTTGTTTTGAGCAAACGAAAATTTGGCGATTTCCATCACAGTGTCTGGGTTTGCGGCTAGCATAAAGCCATAGAGAATGTTGTCATCCTTCTACACATACATCGTATGGATACCTACCGAAACATAGTAGAAGTTCGCATTCTTTTATAAGTGTCCATACCGCGTTGTCCTGTACATATTGTTGTGTTAACTCAGGCGCCGCGCCCGGGTAGCTGATCATGCTGCGGCTCATTTCGTGGATCAGTATAACGCATCTTCCTGCCCCCGAATCGGTGTTGGTAATCTGAAGACACGAATGCATCTGATATTTCTCACAATCATTGCGGGGGATTTCGCCAACCATATCTGACGCGCTACACCAGACAAAGTCACACGTGTACGGTTTCCGCAAAATCCACTGAATCATCTTCACTGTGTTCACTGTAGCCCCTCCGGCTGTGTACTCAATCTCGTAGTTGTTCTCCATCTCCGTGTAGAGGTCCGTATGTTGCGGTTTAGCTAGAATCGCGTTATCCTTCTCGAGGCCATACCTTGTGCGTAAATTTTCCTCCGCTTTTACCAGCATATCCAACATCGGTTGGCCTAACCCCACCACACAGCCCCTAGGGATTCTTTCCATCACATGGTAAGGTCGCTTGAACAAGTTTATGGATTGCGCCTTTTTAGCACACATCACCCACATTGGTGTCGCCGGAGCCGCTCATGATCGGTCTGTGCGTGTGCGTTGTGTATCGCGTACGCACGCGTGTGCAGCAGCGACGGCTTCGGTTTTGGCTGCCTGGTTAATGACCCAATGAACGGACGATGGGATGGCGGGTGGCATGTAAATTGACAAGTATGGCGGTCATGTGACTCACTGGTTTGCCGGCACGCAGACCAAATATTGCACTGTGACAGTTAGACGTGCCTGTTAGAAATCGGCGGCCGAACACTGTAGACTCGGTCAGACATCATCATCACCACCGTCGGCGTTGTATTACGTTTCGTCTCCATCCAATCATCGATCATCGGAGATGACTTTATCAGTGGGGTGTCAATATATCCCCGTATGCCCTAGGACATGGTATACAGACTTCGCTAAAACCGACAGTTGGTACAGCTTAACGGCGCACATGCCAACTTGCGGGGCACCTGTGAAGTGGAACAGAAGAATTATCTTTCCTACTCGGACATCCTTATTTGTCGCAGGGATGACGAACTCATTCGGAGGTCCGTCTACAGAAAACCAACATGGTTGGTGGCATCCGGTTTCGGATTTGCCTAGAATGTGGCCAGCCCCAGGACGACTGCCCTACAGAGGGAACATGGGTGGCTTGCGTTGCACCACCCACAGATCCAACCACACACCCCACATCCAGTGTAAACCCGAAGCAATAAGACCAGCAGGCATATGGATGGGAGGCACGTTTCATCAACGGAGCCGGCTCACACTCCTTCACAGGCAAACACACGTACGCTGTATTTGGGGAATCAAGGGCACACAAGGCGGTGGTCGGACGGTTGTCCGCTCCACACTGAGTGCATCAAGCGCTCTTCGAGGCGAGCACAGGTAAAGCACCATACACCCCGTAACCTCCAGCAACGACCAACTGTCTCCTAGAACCAGTATGGTTGAGGTAGTGGGTAATAGACAAGTAGGTACCTTGTCACCATATACATCAAGCGCAGCTACCTCGGGGATATCAAGCAACAGCCAATCACTTGAGAGAAAGATAACAGAGGAAATAAATCAATTAACGCATTAAGAAACGGTAACCTAAATCTTAAAATAATGAGCACATGAAATAAGTTGTTTGCAAAAGAATACGAGGTAAGTTCACGAGGTTGAATATATATTTTAGAGAAATGCCACATGTTATCGGAATGAACTACAATTGGCTTAAGCGACGGGTGCAAGTTTATAGAAGAGCGTACAGGTAATCACTTATATGAAAAAGGAAAGCATTAGGACAAAAGTGAAAACCCACCACCTGGAATAAATGGACTTCGCATGCAAGCACGTGGTTAGTAAATCGAATGCAGCATACCTACAAATGCAGCGCCGGTTCTACCTGCGTTCTCTGCAGGACCCGTCGGCGCGTCCGTAGTGGTCCCGAGTGGCCTCGCTCATGGCTCACTAGGCCTGCCTGACTCAGGCACTCGCGACCGCATGTGCTACAGCACCATGCACTCGATGTCGATGGAGAACAACCCATCGGTGCTTGCCGCTTCCGTAATCGCCGCTTCTTCTCTGCTTGCATGAGGTCTTTCTCCCGCACTTCGGCAACTGCCTTCGTGATAACATTGCGCCATGCAAGCCGATCAACCGCCTTCGATGCCCATGACATGTAATCAAGATTAGAACGTGAGAGGCTCACTTTGATCATGCCCTGGTAACGTAACTTTGGTTTCTCCAAATGCCGCTTCCCAATACTCAGCTGACCGTATAAGAGTTGTTTCGGTATCCGCGTTGAATCCATACGCCACACATGACCGAGCCACCTCAGGTGTCTCAATAAAAGTATGCAGTCCACTGCATACATTCCACTTCGGCGCAACACTTCTGTGTCAGCAATTCTGTCGCCCCGTCCCATGCGCGAAATCCGTCGCAGACACTGCTGATGGACTCGCTCGAAATATTGCATATCCCGATGTTACATGGTCCAAGTTTCACTGCCGTATAGAAGAACGGACAGCACCATGGATCTGTACACCATCAGCTTTGTGCCAATGGTATGCTGATGGTTGTTCCACACTCGGTACTCTAGATTCCAGAATGCCGCGGCTGCCTACGACACGCGGATACGAAGCTCACCGCGAAGCTGCTGACCGGTTGACAACAAACTCCCAAGGTAGCAGAAGAGGGAGATGGTTTCCAACACTTCAGCACCAATGCTGATTCGCGCCAATATTAAAGATTGCACCTTCGGTGAAGGCTGAAAGAGACACCGTTTTCTTGTGCTCTTGGTGAGCCCGAATTTGGCCGCTGTCGAAGCCCGAGCACTAGTCATGTGCTGCAACTCATCCGCGCTGTGGGCAAACAACGCACAGTCGTCAGCAAACAGCAACAGACGGATAGTTATCTCACAGACTAAGGTTCTCGCATCGAAACGACGGATGTTCACAAACACACCATCAATGCGGTGCTCCACACGAACACCGTAAGCACAAGCGGCATCCAAAGCACAACACATCATTGCATCAAGATAAATGTTAAACAGGGCAGGAGCTAAGACACAGCCTTGCTTCACACTAGAGACAACTGCAAAGTCATCCGAGGTCTCTCCACTCAGTTGCACCATCGCTCGCATACCACTGTGGGGACATTCAATTAAAATTACAAACTTCCTCGACCAGCCAAACTTAAGCAACCCTAGCCACAATGCCTCGCGGTTCACTGTATCAAACGCCTTGGTGAAATCAACAAAAAGCGAGTACAATGGCTGGTATCGTTCTCTGCACTTCTCCTGCAACTGACGAGCCATAACGATAATGCTGCGACCCGAGCAAAATCCACACTGCTCTTCCGCCACGTTAGGTTCCACAAGCTGACTGACGAGGCACGTGAGTACGATTCGGGCAATCACCTTGCCCAGATAACCCAGCAAGTTGATGCCACGATAATTCGTGCAACATTGCTTGTTACCTCGGCCATTGTATAGTGGTATCACAAGAGCATCCTTCAGCTCAGCAGGCACGTCCTCTTCAATCCATACGGGATGCACCATGTGGTGCAGCGCAGTCACCAACGCGGGTCCACCGTGTTTCAATACTTCAGGCGGGATCCCGTCGGCACCGGCACACTTGCCGTTTCGCAGCTGAGCAAGTGCTCTCTGAGTCACATCCAGTGTCGGTGTGTCCGCCAGACTCGCCTTCATATCGAGCTGCTTCAGGCTATTCCAAGTAGGCCAGTCGATTTCTGAACAGTTGTTAAAGAGCGAGTCAAAGTGTGTTCGCCAGATCTGCATTATACCTGCAGTCTGGTTGCTAGTGGTTCACTATTTTTTCGCTGACAAGTTGACGTGGACTGGGATAATTCGTGAATGGAAACTCGTACCCGGCGCATGTGGCTTTTATGTGCGAAACATGGAAACTACCACACCAGTTATCTGCATTTCAAATTGATGAGTGTACGCATGGTGAACGCATTGAGTTTTTTCGACGTCAGTAGAATTCGAAAAAAGCAGTATATTTTGTTGTTTCGATGGAGTCTAGGGGCACCTTTATTCCCAATATGATTATACTTTCCTTTCCTATCTACTGGTTGCGCCAATTTTGGATGCATAAATCTTACCTTCGTATACTATTGGGACGAAACTGAGCGACCATTTCATTTGGCACCGAGATGTAGACAGATCCGGTTTCCGATGCGATGTTCCTCGTGTAGATACCATCATCGCATCGCATTACAAATCAGGGCAGCTCTTTATGTACCATGAGTTGTGTTATTGATAGAGATAATTAAATGACTACTTCGTAATGGCAATGTGCCCAACAAATGATGTGATTGATTTCGAGGCATTCGTTTAGCAAAACTGGATACATCGACGTGGTTCGGTCTGCAGTTTCATTATACTAGATTGCCATGCCATGGACTGAACAGTTTTGGGACTAACCCCAAAAGGCGTAGCAGCTGAAAACAGCACGCGCCGGTACAGGCTCGA